TTCATTAGAACTAGATATTAGATCAGCTTTTGGAAAATTGTTATCTTCAAGTATTTTACCCTATAATGTGTCTTAAAATCTTCAGTTTCTCTTACTGTTTTCTAGTTTTCTGTATACAAGTCTAGTAAATTTTGTGGTGAGATTTATCACTATTTCATATTTTAATGCTCTTGCAAACAGTGTTTTGTTTTTATTTGTCACCATGAAGTGGAAATACAGTTTCTATTTAATAAACTTGATTTTTAAGAAAGATTTAAATTTTAAATTTATGTCTCTATTAGAAAATTCATACAGTAGGCTGCTTAGCTTTATTTATTTTAAATGTCATAGTCTTCTCTGATTGCTTTGTAAGTGAATTTGAATATGAGAAAGCATGCTTTTGTGTTGTTTCTCAGTGAGAATTTCTGAACCCTAGCACATCCCAATGAGCCTGCAGTATGGTGAAGTGTAAGTGAGGACCGAAACCTGGGCACGAATCACAGCTGTGCTGCTGTGTGACTCCGTCAATTTCTGTGTGTACCTGGACTGCAGCTTTCTCATCAATGCAGGGATGCTGAACCAGTCACTTTAGAGTTGTTGTGCAGACACTATAAGGTAAAGAGCACACAATTTTCATCCTTTATAGAATCACAGTAATGTGACAGTTGCTGTGTAGTTTTCTCTCTTTTAGAGCTCATTGTTCGTAACATGGCTAGTCATTTGTGTTTTCAGACTTTGAGAAAAGGGAGACTGAATTTTCTTTGCTTTTTCTGATTATTCATTTTTGTTAAAAAATTCTGAGATCTCTATTTTTGTCTATAACTTGTCCACATGAAATCAGAGAAGCCAAATGCACTCAGATCAAACTTCCTAAATGGTGAGTTGCCCAAGATGTCAGTGTTGTGAGCATCTTGGATAAAGTATTGAAAACCAACCTTACTGTAGATGATTCTTCCAGTTCCTGAATAGTGACGTCAGTAATGGCTCTATTAAGACATGATCTGGAACAACATGTACTTCATTAATTCACAAACCTCCTGTTTGCTCCATAGTAAAGAACAGAGGCATCACTGTTTGCTAGAAAATCTAGACCCTGTATCACTTTGAACGTTGTTGTTCTGATTTGTTTATGTTTATGATACTGGTATGCTGTTACTGTTCTATTTTTTTGTTGTTGTTTGTTTGTTTCTCATTTACTACTCTCTCTAAAATTAAAAAAAAAAAAGGTAAAGGTGTACCACTTCCTCATGATGAATCTAATCACTATGTACTACAAACATATGCAACCAAAAAAGGTCAAGAGGATTTTCTTTAAAAGTGTTAATTGCATTGCATTTCTCCCCTGCCTAGACAGAAAGATGTCTTAGTTATTTTTTTCTTATTGCTGGGACAAAATAACCAACACCCAAAATTAAGGAAGGAAAGATTTATTTAGCTCACAGTTTGTGCAGGTTTCAGTCCATAATTGGCTGGCTCCAAGACAGGGTGGCATGGCAGAGGAGCAACAGTTCATGGCAGAGGAAGACAGTAAAAGCAGCAAGAGTAAAAAGGAGGTGGGGGTGGGGGTGATATAGCTCAGCAGCGCAGTGCCTGTCTGGCAAGCACAATGTCCTTAGTTTGATTCCCTGAACCAAAATATTAAAAAAAAAATTAAAAAAATTTAAAAAGTTAAAAATTTTTTTAAAAGGGGCAGAAAAGCAAGCCTCTTTTCCTCCCTTATATTGTATGTGGGCTATCCCCCAGGGTTCTCGCCTTTTCCGGGGTCTTTGTTCTCGCCCCCCCAGGGTTGATGTAGCACTCATATCATCTTCATGCCCTCCTCTTGCACAGGATGAGGATGTTTCCAAAGTGAGGACCCTGGCCCCCTGCTGAGTCACTTAGTTAAGCTTCTAAACTGTTCAAGTTGACACAATGCATCAATGATTACAGATATTTTAAATTCTAGTGTTTTGTACAATATTGGGGTTCACTGAGTATAATAGCCTCAACATGGAATTTTAATGAATATGAAGTGTCTTATAAAACCTGCTCATAACTGAATAAAGGAATGCTTAGCTTTCTGTTAGGAGTCCAATAATTGCTAAATGATATAATGATACATTCTTTTTTATTTTTGATACATTCTTTTTTTGTTTGTTTGTTTGTTTTCCAGTACCGCTAATTGAACTCATGACCTTGTGCTTGCCAGGCAGGCAAAATCTCCAGCCCTGCTGAGCTAAATCCCCAGCCCCTCTAAATGATATAATGAAAACTTGATTTTAGAATTAACTATTTACATTGTGGTTTAGTAAGAGTTGGAATGCAGGTTTCATATGTTTCATCCTCCATATATATGAAACTTTAATGAAATATTTTAATGTCTCTTTTACCTAAACACTCCACGTTAATATCACCTTTGCAGAACATTTTGGTTGATTCTAAGCACTCTTTTGTTCAGAAGCATTCTAAGCATTCATTTGTTCAGTACAAAAGCTAAATAGATAAGTTTTCCATCCTTGGCCTGTAAGTGAGTGAGTGCTAAAACTGCAACTTTAATACAGGGTTTCAAACTCCAAATATAACTTTCTTTGCCTTCCATAATTATGGCAAAAACATCAGGCAAGTGAAGATTAGAAACTTACATGAAATTTCTCCTGTGCATGTCAGCATGTGCCTATATATTTTGTAAAGATTTCATCTATCAGTATTTTAAACAAAAAAATTTACGTGCATTTTTTATTGTCATTTATTTGTATCTACCTAGGTTCTTTATGGTTACTGCCTCTCTTAACAAAATATTTGCATATGTATTGCATTGATTTGTGACAAAGAGGAAAGGAGTGGGACAGAATTGGAAATTTAAAAACAAATATATCATTTGTGGTGCTAAATCATGTATATGCATATATATTATTAATTGATGGTTTGTATGTGATTCTATTAATGCAATCACTGAAATGAAAATAGAATAACATACTTGTGGGTGAGCATGAGAAATGCAAGATTTTACATAGAATGTCTGAATTTATATCTATTATTATTATTATTATTATTGTTATTTGGTACTGGTGATCTCACTCAGGACCTTGTGTTTGCCAGGCAGGCACTTGTGCCGCTGAGTTATATCTATTTTTAAAGGTGTCTGAAAATGTACAAAAGCTAAATTGATTTAATTTTTATTTAGTATGAAATTCTCTAAAAATTAAGGAAGCATTATATTTGTTTGTCTCAAATCCCACATATGAATGTTTGGATTCTGTGTAGGAGAAAACCTCTTACATGAATCTAGGAATTTTCCTGAAAAATAAAGACATGTATACTACTCCTTTGAAAGGTGTTTCCAACTACCAGTCTTTGCTATGTTCTTGACAGTTGGCAGATTCAGTATGACAAAATTAGAAGGCATTTTATGCCACCACAAGTCATTTTAGGTCACTGAGTGAGTGCAGCCCTTTGTCCTGCACTCATTCTACTCCTTGGAATACACTTTAGTGTGTGACTAGCTCAGTACAAATACAAAAGCCACCAGCTGAATTTTGTTTTGTTGCTGTTAAGGGTTGAACCCAGGGCTCCTCATATGCAAGGCAAACTCTTTACCACTGGGCTACATCCTTAGCCTTTATGCAGAAATCTATTCCAAATTATGGGACTCTAACAAACAACTATATTTCAGTGACATGGGTATTCTTTCAAGATACAGATGACTTTTACATATTTTTGGTTATGGTATGTATTTAATTTACAGTAGCTTTAGAAACTCCAGAACATCTATATTTTAAAAAATGATTACAAATCAGTTTTGACACAAATATATCTCAAAAATGTAACCCAGAACTTGACTTGCATGATCAGTGTATGAATTGAGACATTTGCCTTTAACTTACAATTCAGAAACAATACTGAATTTTTTTTAAAAAGGAAAAGCTGAAGCCAAAAGTGGACAGTGGTGAGGTACTGATTCAAAAGGCAAACATGGTTTCTTTGTTTTTGTTTTTTGTTGTTGCAAAAAGCTGATTGTACGTGGAGCAGACTCTCCTTGGTTCTGTCCATCACTGTCCAGCAAGTAGTGAAGGCGTGAGCCAGGTGTCTGGAAATGCTGCAGCCAGGCAGGCTGCCCCGACTGACAGATGACAGGTAAGTCTACATCATCTCAGTCTCCAGTTCACTGAGGAAGTTTATTCAATGACTCCCACACTGCTTTTCTCATTTTGCGTTAGATTGTGAGTGGGGTGTTCCATATGAGGGACTGAGAACAATCAGAAAGTCATTCTATGGACGTCGTGTGGAACCCAGGGTGAGTATTCAACCTTTGAGAACCTTAGGCAAGGAAATATGAGAGCAGGTGAAATCATGTCATGCAAAATAGGGGAAAGCAAGCAAATTAAATGGGAAAATTCTCCTAATAACATGCATTCAGTCAAGTGAATAACACAGTTTCTTCCATTCGTCTGCAGCGTATCCACTTGGACCAGACTTCCTCTCTGTCTACTCTTTTGGGTGACAAGATTTTCTGTATGCCTTTCCAAAATACAGATGGTGGACTCTGCTTCCACCAGACATTGCCTTTAGAACTTACAAATGATAACTGAAATGTCAGGAACAGCAAAAGACATGGACCCACGCATGA